TATATATATATATATATATATGCAAAGTTAGAGGTCGTGGATCCGATACCTGCCATTGCTTGTCCCTAGTGGGGATAATTTAATGCGAGTTTCCCTTTTATCGAAGATGAGTGCTCGAAAACGCTTTCGTGAATGAACACGGGCTAATACAGAGTAAAATGGTTTTGTCAGAATGGGAATATCTTTTTTTTCCTAGGATGAATGTAGGCATAAGTTTTCTTTAATGAGTTTGATGGTTTCCTATATTGACCATTGCAATTAACTACTGAGAAAATATTTTGCTCATCTAAATATATATTCTAAAACCATGAAACACTTGCACACACACAAAACCCACTAAATTGTGACATGATTTATCTGTCACACGATTTTTCTTGAGTTTGTAAACACGTCGTTTGACCTGGTATCCTTGTTGCTGCTGTTATTACCCACATCTACCTAGTTTATTTATATTACGTGTGGTTTCACCCTTTAAGTTTTCAATTTGATGGTGCTAAATTAGTACTTCATTTCTTGAAACGCTCGCTCATACAATAAATAGTTTTAAAGTACTAGCTATAATACCAAAGCACCTCTTTTAGAAGACAGCTCTAATTGTTAACTAGAATAATGATGCGCTGGTGGTAATATGCTCTTTTTCCGAATCAGGTGTCACAGGACCGCGATCTATCCATATACGCCCAGGGACTAAATAGGGTAATTGAATCTGAGTTTCTCAATCGAAGAATCTCCGGCGTACCTTCGTTCAGCCCAACTTGGGCGGGAAAACATCTCTTCCTAATAGGCCGTGGAAGAAAAGCCAAGTGTAAATAGATGTAGCAAAAGTCACCTTTGATTTCGTAATGTTCACTGATGTGGATCACCAATCGTCAGTGTTTTAATTTTACTTGTTATCAACTGAGATAAAAATGCCACCCAAGTAGAAGTAGGCACAAAGGAGTAATTCTCCTTTTTGTTTTCCTAACAGTCTGCTCATCACCTGCCAAAGTCAAAATCAATAATTTCCTTAAATCATCGAGTCCTTAGTATGCAGGGGAAAATGTCAGTTTCTTTTATTTATTCCATCATGTCAATTGCATCAACTCTAGCTGTGCAAGTAACCAACTTATCAGTCCATCTAAATTATCAAAACATGGTACGATATGTACTATCAGGGCAAAGGGGTTGAGTGTTTTGGTTCACATTTATACCATCATTCCATCCCGATCTCCCCCTTTGGCCTGCTATATTTTCCGATTGGGACATCTTGGGTTTACAATTTTCCGCTCCGGTGGGGCAGTCGTCTACAACAAATAGCACTAATTGATTTTAGTCAACTGTTGGTAGAATGCAGCAAGTCTCTCCGCATTAACGCGGTTTCATTGTACTATCTATTTGCCCTAGTTAAATGTGTTTTTTACTTGAGGCTTGAGAAAAGCTTAGGTTTCTAGGTTAGATGTCTTACTGAATGGAGGAGTTAATTTTTAGTTTTTACCCATTGTACTATTCATTAATTCTTCTTTTTGACTCTTTGTTTTTAGTCATGTAAACTTATCTCCAGATTGCCTTGAATTTCCTGATGTGAAAAAGAAATTTGCACTTGATGTAAATTTTGTACTCGTGATTAATTTATTCGCTTATTGAAGTGTTTTTTCTTGAAGTGGGCGTTGATAAGTTTACGCCCCACCCCCTCCTTTGGAAACAATTCATGTTGAATGATTGGGTAGTGTTTACCATTTATTATAATGCCGTTTTAAGATTTAATGATGACCCAATCAAAATATCGATTTTGCCTTCCGTTTGTAGCAATTCCGGGGATTGACGGATGAATATTGGAAGAAACATGTATTCAAAAATTTTCCCCTTGAGAGCCGATCGATAAAGGGTCCAGAAGAGGGTGAAACCTGGTTTGATGTCTACAAAAAAACTGAGGCGGAACATAAACGTCGACTTGATCGATTTATCAATCGCTCCACGCAAAAGATTAAGGCTGAAGAAGAGAGTAAGTACCGTTTATTATTCAGAGTTTTTATTTCAATTTGTCGGAACTACTACTATGTATAAAAGTTGGGTTGAAGATCTTGTTAAGAAAAGGTACCACTTTTTATTCAGACCATTCTGAATGATTATTGAGCTCCTTTTTTTACTAGCATAGACCTATCCTAGCTAAAATAACCATCCCACTTTTACAGTAAATACTCGGAAAATATCTTATCCTTATTAATGTGCATCCGAATTGTATAAACTTGGAATACGCAAACCTTCGATATAATCAGCAAACTGGTAATAAAGATGCACTAATTAGTAATCAGAGAGCATCTCATTAAGGTAACGTTTTGTGGATGAATGGTAGTTCTTGAATTTCGTTTGTTAGTGGCAATGGCATGTGCGTAATTACCGTATTTGGCTAAGTCAAACACTCGTCGTTTAAGGTTCACTTTGGGTCTTGTATCTTACGGACTTTTAACCCCCCCCCCCCATCACTCTCTCAATTAAATTCCATCCAATTGTGCACCATATGATTCATCACTGCATTGGATGTTCATTTATTGGTTGCGTGTATTTACTGCAAGCGTGCCAGCAGTTCTCGCCAAAGTGAACATAGTGAACTGAAAAGATTCGGCTCTCCCCTATTATCAACTTGAATAGTAGTCGACATAGTCTACTGCTGTACTTTATTTCTCGTGTGATTCGGTGGTTATCTATCGAACTTATATCCCATAAGTTCATCCACCAATCTCTGAAAATTTAATTAAAAATTTGTAAAGTGCTACTGGTAGTGCATTATATGCGCGTGGTAAAGAGACGCGTCTTTATGTTTCTTCGTATTTACTTCTCTGGTAAGGTAAATGCTCATAGTACGCTTTTAACTGACGTAATCAGCCTCTAAAGTGATTGTGTAGTGTAAATCATCATACCAAAATTGACGATTAGTGGCCGATGAGAAGCCCGTAACTGAGTTATATTCAATCAATTTTCATACTTCTTAGGAAGATCGCTTCCTCTTACCTTTGAACTCTTTAAAGCTTCTTCGTTCGTCTTATTCTCTTTTCAACCCTTTTTCCCATTACATTCAATATTGGCTGGTCTATAAGGTAATGCTTGAACTATGCAGGTTGATGGAATTAGTAGTAGTCAAACAATTTTACCAGATCATTTAGAAAATGGTGCAAAAGCGGGCCAATTGGAGATTGAATTGTCCTTTAACTATCGCATCCAGTTTCTTAACCCTCTTGGCAACCATTCTATCCCTAATGATCTATCCTAATGTCCTCTTGAGCAATTAAGCGCTGAGAATATTAAATTGGGTTGGAATTGAGAAGAGCTATTGATTTACTAAAATACTTATTGTTAATAATTTTATTTTGTAAAACTTTGAGACCGAGTAGTTCTTAAGGCAAAATAATAAGTGTATAAATGCAGTCTGCAATAATTATTGCAAGAAGGTCGAACAAATACTACCTAATAAAACGTCGCTGCGGTGAAATCTGCATAATTTTATTGTTATTTTTTCTATTTATTTATTAAGAGCAGTTTCATTCTCGTCCGAAAAGGGAAAAGACACTCTGAGTTCCTTATCAATTTACGGTTTAGCCAGCAACATTTACGTCCATTTAAGCGTATTACATTTTACTATTATATCATAAACATCTCTGAAAATGAGGTTTATGACTCCCGAAAGTGAAATTCACTTTATTGTATTTTTTCACTGGGTCTCATTAAGCAAATCCCTCACGGTTGTTTGAATTGACTTTGCAACCATTCTTTCGACCTTCTATCTGCACCAAACAACAGGAAATTCGCATTTTTTCCATGGCTTTCCTTAAGCAAGATTCGTCTTCTTTTGACAGCTGATTGCAAGATTTCCTAGAAGAGTATGATTATCAATCTCTTAACACCTAAGTTACGTTTATCAGTCCTCAAGAAATGTCTAAATCTACTGTCGTCGTACACTGTCAGGTATAGATCATGATGGAAAATTGATTCAATAACCTGTTTTCTTTACCCTGAGTGACACTTTTGGGCTTTTAAGTTAAGTGGAAGGTGGTTTTTTTGAGGGCAGAGAGCTAATTAAACCATAGATTTGCTCCATTGCATGAGTGCAGTCTTACAGGTGGTCGCCGAATCATTTTCTTCTTTATCCAATGGGATGCACATGTTTTGAAACAATTTTCATTCTCTTTATTAGGTCGTCGAAAAACCCTTGTAACCGACGTAATCACTCCTCGTCGACGTCGTAGAAACGGTGGCGGTATTGTTTTACCCCGTCGTTTTCATCGCTCTGGCTCACCCCCTGAAAGAAGGGCCTTCTTCACTCCAATCAATATGAGTTATCCATCTTCGTCCTCCTCGCTTGGAAATCGAAACACCTCGGGCTCAAGTCGATCTGGTAACCGTTCGTTGTTGCAGAAGTTGAGGAAACAATTTCTCAATGGAAGATAATTTTTGATCTCGCCCTCTCTTGTCTTAGTTTATCTTCCTGCCTTCTATTGTATGCCTAAGTTCTTTCTCTCTCCTCCCCCCCCCCCCCCCTCCCTCCTCTCCACTTTGGTTTGTGCTTGTTGGTCATTCATCCCCTGAACTGATGAATGTGCAAATGTGTGCACGATTGTGACTTTATTATCAACGTCTTTTATTATCTGATAATGATAATACTGGTGTCAAATGAACTTATTTTACTTTGGAGAAACTATGGGCATAATTTTGACCTTTTGTTTGTATCACTGAAAAGTTCGAAATTGCCATATCATTTTCGTGGATTTCAATGTGATCTAGTCAAAGCTATATTATTCGCACATTGCTGAGGATCCGAGTTGTTATTAAGGGCCAAGTGATATTATTCAAATAATTATATGCCAAATGGGTCTTGCAGAGGATGTTGTGCAAATGACTTGTGAAATAAAGGTGTGTTGGGAAATACTGGGATGCAACTGGACGACGAAAGAGGTAGCAAAGTAAAGTGTGCGGATCGGCGACGACGGAGTTGAAGTTCTTATGTCAGAGAAGGCTCCGATTCACTTCAAGATGTCTAAAATTAACCTTCAAAGCGGAGTCTTCTAGTGCTACCTTTCCACAAACAGACTTGATACTCTTGCAGAGCGTTGGTGCGTAAAAGCCGGCTTGTCGAATCACTCTTTGAAATCCCTCAGCCAAACTTCTAAGAAGAATACTCCTTATCCTTTTAGTGAAAAACATGCACTAATACTAAGGAGATCTTTGTTTTTTACCTTGGTTTAAATATCCAGGGGTGTGGGATAGACTTACCTCCACGTGGTGCACCCTGGGCAACGTATACTCATACAGCAAAAAATGTCTATTAACCGGCAGTTGACTTCTGGCTTCTAACTACCATCACCCCACTGTATGTCAAATTGGACTACTTTCACAGTACTCACCTCACCTTTTTTCTACCTTTGTGTCTGTCTGTCTGTCTCCTTCACATCTGTGGATCATTATTCTGTCCCCCCTTCGACATTTTGTTCGTTGCAATTTTTCCCTCTAAAGCTATGCTTTATGGTAAAGACAAATCTTATAATGTAGCAGGCATTGCGTGGAGATGCTTGATAATTACGTGGACAATGTTACGACGCATATGGCTGATTTGCCTGCATGGCCGCGATTACTCTAATGTGAACGGTTGGCACAACATCACTTTCTAGGTCGTTCCAGGTCAATTTGATTACGCTTGCTGACGTGGAACGCCGCACAGGTTAGAGTAGGAAAAATTCCCTGAATTAATAAAGTTTTCCAATGTTTATCTAACAGGTATGGTTTCACTAAACATGACATTATGTTCCAAAGTGGGGTGTGCGATAGACTTACCTCCACGTGGTGCACTCTGGGCAACGTATACTCATACGGCAAAAGAGTCTATCAGTCGGCAGTTGACTTTGACTTCAAACTGCCATAATCCCACTGTATGTCATATTCCACCACATACACAGCACTCATCTTACCCTTCTCTCTGTCTCTTTTACATATGTAAATCACTCTTCCGCCCCCCCCCCCTTACTATTGATAACTATTAAAACGCCTGCCACTTGATATAAATAAATAAATGTTCTAAAGTTGACTTTTTCAGAATTTATCTTATTTGCGTGGAGATCGATTAGGACTTCTTACTAACTGGGATTGATTTGGCCCTATCTCATATTTGGACTGTAGATAGAATAAATGAAGATGGGGAATTGTGTTTTACATAGTCTTAGAGGACACCTCATTAAGAGAATGGGGAGGGAGAGGATTACATAGGACAAATTCTGTGATGAGAGTTCGAGAAAGTGGGATAAAGCCTTATCATCTCGAGAAATCGCCGGAAATATGTGGGAACGTCTATCCTTCCTGCGAAAATGAGCTCATTTTCTCAGTGTTCAGGCCCTATAGACTTAAAGGTTAAATATTTAAAGCAGCAATCATTATAAACCCGTAGCTCTTTATTGTCATGAGTAATTTATTATTATGCAGGAAGCGTGGCCCAATGGGCTTTTATTGAGGCACATCGTATAGGAGAGGCCGGTAAACATGGAAGATCTTGAAGTTTATAGGTTGCCTGGAGTAGAGAAATACGGATCAGTAAGTGTATGGATTATAAAGGGTGTCTGAGGAAATGATCGTCTTGGCTTGATGACCGTAATCCTCTATCCGGAGGGATTGGTTAGAGGCTGGATACATTGCTTACTTTAGCCAATGGCCAGGTTCCTCTTATGAGTGCCTTTATTGGCTCATTCTGCGTACATGTGTCTGTTCTTCTTTTCCGTCCAGCCAAAACTGTGAGCAGAGGACATATAAACTAGAAGTAATTGTCCGTTGCATCGAGCTATTTATGCTAAATTTAAGGGACAGTGCATGCCTACTTGGTGGATCTAGTGGAAAAAAATGTGGATTGGGTAATTTGGTGAAACCTGAATCACTGTATTACTGTGTTTTAGAAGAAACTGGACTTTTGACCTTCCCTGTGAATGTGATTGCAAACAAATTAGCCCTTGTTTATAATTAATTTTGGCACTGAGTTATATCTTCTAATTGATTATTAGTTGAAGTGAATTTAATGCTTTACCGTTACTAAGCTCCAATCTCATCGGTTTCAAGAAGATAAACTCTCGCTATTTCCAATCGATTATTCTTTGTTTCGTTTCATTTAAGAAAAGTACACTCTCCCAAAAAATTAATTCTAATTTTTTTAAGACTCATTACTTTCTACCCTAAATTCCTATTTCTTTTCAAGTCATTATATTCCAACAAATATATTAGCATCAAGGTTGTAAATTAGGCTCATCGTAACTCAACTAATCAATACGGAAATATGAGTCATGCTTTGATATGTTGGCTTTGAGTTGTGTTTAAATGCGATTTTATCAAATCCATTTGCATTTACGAACCCGATACATAATTTCTCCCAAGGAAAAGCAAAATGGTATTCAGTGTATGTACCTATTTTCTTTAGTGCAAACGCCTTTGTTATACTTTGGCGTTCTGTTCTACTTTTTTTCTAGCACGTAAATTTCATTCACTCTTGGGTGAAATATTGATAAACATGGAAAGAATTTCATAAACAAGTACCTATAGAAATGATGTAAATCTCCATGCATAGCACGGATTGTTTCAATTCCACTTCTCAATTGGTTCCTCATCCAAACCATTGGGTTTAATCATCACGTGAAGTACAGTTTGAAATGGCCTTGAGTTGGACAATAAAAGCGTATTTTACTATTTAAGAATATCAGAGAACTATGTGCCAAATGAGTAAGAGACTGAGTACTAAATTGTGCTCTAGCCAACTTAAAAAGCTCTAAAATTAGAACTTGAAGCAATTTTCTGGTCAATGAACTCAAGCGAAGATTCCAAAGACCATTTCTAAAGTTTTGAGTTTGGAATACCAGATCCTTTCACAGTGAATTGGAGTTCACGTCCCTTATGTCTCAACCTCTTGTTCAATAATTTTAAAAGCCAGTTCTAACAGAAATCACAACTTCTAGAATTTCAAAAAACGACATAATCCCGGATCGATTACTCGTTATTCTGAGCATAAAATAACTTCATGTCAATCGATGGGGTCACTTATCGCACTAGTGATTCCCGACTACAGGTTTTTGCATTCAAACCTACTTCCGTAGTTAATTTAAAATAGTAATTATTAATTTTGTCAATTTCTCCCTACCTAGCAACAACAGATTGCGCCTTCAACTTTTAGTAGGTATAGTCTTCTGTTGGCAACCAAGGCTGTATTGAGAAACATGACTTGGCCAGGATACTGTAGCGGATTGCTACTTTGTTAAAGCCTAACCGACTCAGAAATCTCTATGGCAGATTCTCCAACATCTAGCTAGACTCCCAGAACCAGCTAAGCTATAGCCAGCTATAAAGGAAACAGACGTTTAGCACGGAGAACGTTTATTCAGTAAGTATATTGGGGATAAAGTGTACACGCAAGAAGCTTAATCATGATCAGGATGGTGGTTTAGGTTAAACAAACAGAGGTTAATGATTGGTCACTGTCTGTACGGTTGCACCTCCCAATCCTGGCGTGCAGGCATGCTATGACGTGTCCCACAATACTCATGTGATTCTTACTTATTTTGTTTTTTGCAACTCAGTGGGGACAACAAAAGTGGAATGTCCCAGTAAACTTTCGTAAAATTAATTATATTAGTAATTCTCTTATAAAACCTATGCAGAGTCACATTTAGCAAGGAAAATGCACCATAGGCATATAAATCAGACCGAAAATGTGCCAACGGCAAAGAAGTATTGATCAAATTTCAAAGCACAAATTCCAGCAATAAAAATGTTTGAAAAGGAGATCATGGAGTGCAACTTCTTGGAATAGGATAATGAGAGTAGTATTTCGCTTTTGCATTGATTGCTTATAAAGAATGCCGGAAGTATTGTTCTAGAATTGGAAAAATGCAGTCATGATATGAAATGGCCAGTAATTTGTCGTGTGTGAATTGCTGGTGGGGGAAGGAGTCACGTAGTATCGCTCTAAATACCGATCCTATAAATCATGTGACATATTTAGAAGGTGCAAAGTTAGAGGAAACTTGCCAATATTTGTAAATTTGCGCAATTCCCAGAACCGCCAACTTTTTTGTGAACCCCCGAAAGCCTACAACTTACTTCGAAAAGTAAAACTGACTAGTACATAACTTGGAAAAATTCAGAATGAGGTAAACTTTTCTCTGCTCTGCCCCACCCTCACCCCCAGCTCTCTTGGTAAATAATGGAATTTTAAGTAAAATCGTCGATAATTTCTATAATCGATCAAAACTCAACGAGGGCTCTTATTAAAGAAAGGCAAAAACTAAACACCAATGGAGAGAGTAAGGCAGAGAAATTGTATATTTCTCAATCACTAATGTATCAAAAACTGATTGTTATTAGCCGTAGTAAAGTTATCATTATCAGTTACAGCTTGTGGAGGTACCGACCCCCCCAGATGTCGG